CTCTGTGGAGACTCTCTTATAAAAATTTTTTTTTGTGTGTGTGTGTGTGTGTGTGTGTGTGAGTGTGTGTTTTGCTGGAAATCCCAGGTTCTTGCATGTGCTAAGCATACATTTTGAGACCCAAGATTCAGGAATTCTTATTAACACAATTTAATAGACTTAGTCGCTGATCTGGTCACAGCAGAAAGAAAACCTTTTAAAATTTTTTCTAAGGCTCCCTGAAATTTTAATTTATGGAATAAATTCTAGCCTTGACCACAAAGGACAGTCTGGTCTGTACCTTTTATAAGTCTAGAAAGACACTTTAAATATTAGCCAAGGACATTTGTCTAACCTCTCAGTCATATCTGTTAAACACTAGGCATTAAGGAGTTTCTATCCTAAAAGTTGTGTCCCTTATATACACATTCATTTGAGAAATATGTAGTATCATATGGTCCTGGTAATGCTGTGGTGAATAAAATAAGCATTTTCTCTCTTCTTGTAACATAACTATGGGAGGGATGTAAACAAGCTCTATAAACATGGTAGAACTAAGGTAACATCATTTCAGCAGGAGCCACAGCACACTTCAAATATTTCTCAGCTTTCTTTTTATTCATTCCTTTCTTGTTCTTTGTTTGTTGAGATAGGGTTTCATGTAGCTGGCCTAGAACTGGAACATCCTTGAAGGATGACATTGAATGCCTGCTCAAACTTCTTTCACTTCCTGAGTACTAGGATGACAAGCATGCACCACCATGTCCAGTTTTATGGTACTGGGATTCAGATTCAGAGCTTCTTGCATACTAGGCTAGGCAAGCACCTACCAAGTGAGCTATAGCACCTGACCCCTTGGTTTATTCTCTAATTAGATCAGTGAATGAGCTAAAACATTAAAAATAGGTATTCCAAACTTAATCAGTTCTCCTTAAGCTTTCATTTTTCTCTCCCTGCTGACATTGCTTTTTTAATTAATTAAATTTTTAAAGTTAATATACAAAGAAATGGGTTTTATTAGGCTTTTTTTCTCATGTATACATACAGGTATGTATAAATATGTGTGCACATGCATATGGACGCTACAGGAAAAAATTATCATCCTCAGGGATATTAGTCACTTAATTTGAAACAGGGTCTTTCATTTTCGTGGAGCTCAGCAGTTAGACTAGACTAGCTGGCTAGTGAGCTTCAGGGGTCCTGCCTCCTCGGTGCTGAGATTACAAGGTCATACCACTCTACCTAGCTTTTCACATGGGTACAGGCATCAAACTTTGATTCTCATGCTTGTGAGGCCAGCAGTTCACTAGCTGACCTACTTCCCTAGCCTCTGTTGTGACAGTTCATACATAACGTATGTGTCATTATACACTGTTCTAATTCAGCCCCCTCCCCCTTTACTTCCTACTTCATTGAAGCACATAGACAGTCACCATCACCTGTCACTTGTGTTCAGAATGTTTCTCTCATCCATCCTATCCTTCTTGGAGGGCACGTTATTTTCTGCTTCAGCTGGCCTCCACTTGGCTTCATGGTCTCAACTTTTGCAGCCTTGCTGAAAAAGATATTTCGTTTTTGGAAATATATCCATGCTGTGACTGTTCCACTCCTGCCCACCTACTCCCCTACTTCTTCCTGTCAGGTATGCTCATTTCTAGTAATAGAAAGGAAAGCATATCCTTATACATACATCATCTTTTTTTTTTTTTTTTTTTTTTGTCTTTTTGAGACAGGGTCTCCTGGTAGGCCCAGCTGGCCTGGAACACACTCATAGAGATTCACCTGCTTCTGCTGTGATTAAAGGCATGTACCGCCACACCCAGTTTATCATCTTTTATCTTTAAAGAATTGATCATCTTT